GGATGGGACCCAAAATCTCTAGGAACTCATCTCTGGAGGTGCCCAACTTAAATCTGCAATAACCTCACCTTTGTTTACTGTGCTTTTCCTGGTAACCTCCCATAATTGGCCTTCCTCACTCCCCAACTTCTTTCTTGTATCATTAGCTGAAGAATGTATTTAAGGTGGTGGCTCTAGCCATTTTGAGGAGTACTCAATTTTCCTGATTATCTCCCATGCATACAAGAGGTATAGGTATATAAATATATACCTATATTTCACATAGGTAAATGTGTTGTTAAACTTGCTTTTCTCCTGTCAATCTTTTTTTTTTTTTTTTTTTCTTTCACTCTACAATTGAATTTTTTAGAATGCAAACAGAATTTCACATTATTTTTATATATGACAGTTTGATGACTCATGATGGGACCTGATGAGACAACATTCTTGCTCTGGAACGTGCAAATAGGATTCTGGACTACTGGGAGAAGCTGGCAAAGGGTAAGATTTCTTAGCAAAATCAGCTCTCATGGATGTCTGTCTGCATTGCTTAGTTGAGAGAGGAAAGGAAATTTCACTGTGTCTCTTCCTTTCCAGATTTAGATTACTAGGAGAAAATATTTGTGTGAACTAGTTCCTTGGGTATAGAGACTCTGGTAAAGATTTTTGTTAAGAGTACTCTTGTTTTCTGTTGATCACTTTCTTCCCAGAGTTGGTCATTGTTTTCTTTGGTCTCTGCCTTTTGTGTCATTTGAGATAAGGAAGAAAACCATAGGCCAAATGAGGTTGTCCTTTTATCTAATTCTTTGTCTTAATAAGAGAGCTTGGCTTTTTGACCAGTTTAAGAATACTCTTCTCTGGTCTCCACCAGCCAGGAGATGCAAGTACTGGCTTGTATCTGGCAGCCCGCAGAATAGGCTAGGGATCTGAGACACGAGGTGACAAGCAGTGTTTTCTTTGTCCCACTGTGCCAGCTTTCAGGAGTTTGTCTCCCCTCCCCCCAACCCCCCGCCCCCACCCCAATCCAAGGGGCCATTTTGTCTCAACCTTCATGGTCTCATTAATGCTGGAAGAGTCCCATTCCAGTAGCACCTGCCTGGTGTCACAGGTTAGCAGGCAGGTCTGTGAATGGAAGTGTCTCATGTTCTCGTGGGAAACTAGAGACACTATTTTTACTACACCATTCTTAATACCTATAATAATGAAGGTCTTTGTTTTCTTAGGCTAACTCTGGGAGTACACTTTCTGAATCTTGTGAAAGCTGCACTTTTTGCATCCTCTTTGGGGACGCCTCTTGTGTCCATGGTTAGGCCATTAAAAGAATTATTGGTTTGAATCACTGTTAATATTATTATATCATTGAAAATCATTATCAACTTTTATATTTGAAAAAAATTTAGAGAGCTCTCTTTCTAAACAATTGTCTTATTAATACCTATGGAATAGTCAAATTGAAAAGATCATATGAAGGAACGTGGCATCCAGCCTTAGGGACTCTCTTAAGAATAAATTGCAAAGCCCTTTTACCTCCCCTGTCAGAAGATCCTACCAGATTTAGAGAAGAGTTAGATCAATGGCCATTCACAACCACATTTGCAGAGGTCTTGATTGGCTGCTCAGCGGTGTTCATCCCATTCATGATTGCACCGTAGTCATCAGACAAGCCAGACAGGGAAACCCACCTCAGAGAGGAAGCAGATGACCAGAATTTCTCCTAGGCCCTCCTACAGATAATCAGGAAATGGATCAGCTAGAAGCTGATGTTCAGGGGCTGAGAGAAGCAATAATAGAGGCTTCCCCATCTAACATGCATTTGTACACTCAAAAAGGAGAGCATTTGAAGGCCATCGTTGAAGACTTTACAAAGGTATATTGAATTAAACCCTGAAATTTCCAAACATGGGAATCTTGATTTCTATCTTAGTTGGAATGGAAGTCTCGTCCCTGATATAAAGAAGCAAATTGAAAGTGATGTAGTTGGATGAGGTCAGCTTATCGTTCAGGCTCACCCAATTCCTTGAGGAATTGGAAACAACTGTCTTTGTCTTACAAAATTTTACAAAAATGAGCAATCCAAGACTACCTATCCTTAACAATCTCAAAAGCTCCCCTCTTCATCTCAAAATGCTTGTAGACATTGTAACAGATTAGGACCTTGGAAACAGACTTGTCCTGCACTTAAGAAAAGGAAAAAATTAAATAGTAATGACCCTAGGTATCTGATAATACGATAATACGCAAATGTACCCCAGAACTCCTTGGAGAAAACTTAGGTACAGTCTGTGTGCCTTTGATATGTATATTTTCTAGCCTTATCTTCTCTAGGACCTGAGAACCATCTCTTTGAAACGAAAACTTTAAGGAGATAATTCTCATCAAAAGGAAAAAAGGAACTATTTATTTGAAATTGAGCAGAAGAAAAAAATTGTGCCTTCTTCACAAATATTGGTTAAAAAAAAGCTTTAGCTGAGTAGGTAAATTTAACTTATTTCATCTGCCAGAAACAATTTAGATCCAACTGTTCTTGTACAAATTAGTGAGTTTTGTATTATTGTACCTAATTAATGGCTAAAATTTTATGATAGCCATAAGGTCTCTGTTTGCTTCTGTCTGTATGTTTATGTATGTACATATAAATATATGTTGTAGATGTGTGATACTTTTCTACTTCCAGGTGGTATAGCCAAAATTAATTTGTAAAAGAGCTCTATTTCAGTTGGCTTAAATATATATGCTTATATGAAATAATATTTCTAGACTCTCTGAAATATCAAAACTAACCCAAATGTTTTCTAAGTTCACATGATCTGGGAAAATATTCAGTAAATAAGAGCTAGTTTAAATTGGTTTAATTAGGTATGTCTTCAGAGTTGTCAGAATGTAGACATACAACTTTTATTCTACCTGGGTTTATTAGTCAAACAGGTTCATGTTACCTCTGTTACAAAATTTGTCAGTAAGGAAAATAACAGAATGATGATTAACTTTATTTAATGTCTGATGAAATTTTCAGAAGTAATCTATGATTTTTAAGAACAAATGAATTAAATAGACGTAATTAAATAGAGGTTAAATAAACTTTTTAACAATTACGAAATTTTATAATATATGTCTACTTTAAAATAGCTTCCAAATGTTTTTGGTAACTTCAAACCTTAAAGTTTTGCTCAGGTAAGTTAAATGATGTAAATTCATTGAATATTTAGATCATTTTCAAATAAGAAACTGAAGCAATTATTAAATAAAGTTTTATCCACTCTTGGCTTCTTATTACAAAGAAACTAAATATATTTGGGTCTGTTAGTAAACATGTCTTACGCAACACCGGAAAACTGTACTATGAAGAAGCAGATGCTTTTAAAAATTATGGACTGTATTACTAAATTTGCCAGTCTACATAACGTTGGTATATAGCAGTTCAAAATGGCTATTTTCAATAGGAATTTAGGTTTCAAAGTTTGGGAATTCTAATTAATGTAGGTAATTAAAACTAGTAGAAATAGTAAGGGAAATATGTCTATGTGCGTAGAAAGTAAGATGTGTTTTTGGTCTTTAAGAAAAGGTATGAGGTACAGAGATGCATTTTTGTTAAGGAAAAGAGAATAATTTTGTCCTAAAGTACAACCAGTTCTTGCAGGGGAAAATAAAGGACAAATAAAGTAGATATAGAAAGTTTGGAAGTTTGAAAGAGGGGGAACCTTGTGTAATTAAGCTGGCTAAAATGGGATCAATTTACTCTAAGGGTTTGAAGATTAGCTTTATTATCAATAGTGTACTTATGTAAAACTAAAATCTAATTTTTTTTCATATTTGCTAAAAGGATTTTCTTGGACTGTTAGTCTGCTCTTGATAAAAGATTGTGAAAGGTTTTTCTTTACCTTTTAAGTAATCTGCCTAGAAAGCAAAAATTTTGTGTTTTACTAAAATATTTTGTGTGTTTCATATTATCTTTACATGAGGTCTTTGATTACCTAAGAAAACCAAGTCTTCTCAATATTGAGCTAAGGTTTGCTCACAACTGTGTAACCCGTTTTTGCCTTTTAAATCTTTATCACTTTGGTTAAATAAGTAATTAAGTATTGTTTCTTAATGATCTGTGATCCTGTTTTGTCAAGTGTCCAGAACTTTTGAAATTTTTGACAAATGTCCAAAAATCAAATTCTAAATTAAGTCTTTTTGAACTTGAACTATCTTGGAATATTTCAGAGGGCCCTTATAACATTTTAAGATTTCTCTCTCCTTGTAAAAAGGGATAGTAAACTAATTAGGATCCTGTTAAATGACATGGGAAGCAATGGCAAATAAGAAGTGATGCAAAAATTTCTTTAGGTTATATTCGTATGGATACATGTTATTACTTTGTGTTCCAGAAAATATGAAATTCCTGTAACTCTGATAGTCCTGGTATAATGTTACTCCAGCTATTATCTTAAAATATATGTCACAGAAACAACCAAATTTCCTTGTCAACTGCATTATAGTGAACTCTCACTAGATCTTTAACCATGGTTATTTTTAATTATTTTGTCATTTATAGATGTTTAGCTTTTGCAAAAGTTTTTCTGCCCAAGTGCTTCATCTCCAGGCAGATTCAGGGAAAGGACTCTGAAAAGCACCGGTTTCTGATAACTTTCAGATCATACCATTGAACTGGGTAAAAATTAACCAGGAAAATTCTAAGGAAAAACTGGATTCATAAAACTGATAACAAAAGATCAAGATCAATAAGAATTTATTGTATAGGATTGAATGAACTGATGAGGATCATTATAATTTTCATAACATCCAAAATCTTTTGTTTTTCCAGATTTAAGAAACTTTTTTTTTCTATTAAGCTATCTATGACTTACAGCGAGCAATTTAGTAAAGTAGACCTTTGTGAACAAGATGAAACAATTACTTTTGCTCTTTGCCTGATCCCTCCAGAATTTGGAAATTCTCAGTATTCTTATTTTCATGACAATATAGGTATTTGCGTAAGTTCAGTAAGAATATTCTCCTCCTAACAGGATACAACTGGAAACACTGGTTATATTAACAAGACTGGAATGTCACATGAGAATGTGCATGGAAGCAGACATGACCAATTTTAAGGAATTAAGGTTGACTTTATGGCAGCAATAAAGCCCTTTGGAAAAACCATCTGCTATCTTGCTTACCGGGTTCCTGGCAGCCTTACCAGGTAAGTAGCAAAGGTTACTTCCTGGCAGGAACAGGAACCTCTGGATATATTAGGGGCCTTGAGAAGAGAAAATAACCCAAATGTGTAAGTATTGTGGGCAGAGTCTGAAGGCCAGATGCTTGCTTGGCTTCCCAGCCTCCAGAGGCTTTTAAAAAGTCCAGCCTGAGATTCCTTAAGAAAAATTTCTTATATGGTCAATCACTGTTCTTGCTACACTTATTTAAATAATCAGGCCAATTTTATTGAGACCAGATTTATTTTGTAAGCAAATTAGTTTTACTGTAATTATCTTTTGTAAAAATGGGTGATTATAAAGAGAAAACATATGCTTCAGTAGAAACTAATGTACCTTGTAGATATCTGATTCTAGATTGTGATATCATTACCTGTAAACTGGATTGGATCCTGAATTCTTCTAGTTTCCTCAAATAATCTGGCTACAACTCCTCAAACTAACGTTTCCATTTTCCTCTCAAGCTTTTGACTTGGAATCACTAAAAACAAATTGTATGAGATTCCTAGAAATGTGATATGACTTGGTATAGTTATTACTTGTAATTCTAGTTATCTTTAAATGTATTTCATAGAAATAATGACATTTCCTTATCAGTTGTATTATAATGAACTCTCATCAGATCTTTAACCATGGTCATTTTTAAATTTTTTGTCATTTACAGAAATTATTGTTTTGCTTTTGCAAAAATGTTTCCCAAAGCTTTGCCATCTGAATGTGAACAACTTGATATAAACTTCAGCAAAATGGCCACAGTAGCTCATGTTCAGACACTCTTTGTGCCTGTCTTTTGGGCCACTTAGAAATTTACCCGAACGTGCAATGACATCAGAGACATTCAAACTACAAAAGATGCTTCATCTAAAAATCTTCTGACTGGCTGCCCACAGGACTCAGACTGGGTTTGTAATTTGTTTCAACCATTAACTTTATTTTCTTTTGTTTCCATAGATATGTCTCTTATTAAATACCTGATTGCTCATATTATATAAGCCTAACTTTGGAGCCTACCTGCAACACCATCTCCTGAAATGAGAGACAACTGTTTTAACTGAACTTTAACTACTCTCAAGACTGGTTCAATGAGATAATACAAGCTATCTATCAACTTAGCTTCTGGACTGTGAAGCTCCTTTGAAGGGTCAAAGGTAGGACTGAAGGAGAGCAGAAATATACGATCCCAAAATAGGCCTCCTTGGCGTAAGGATTATTTTTAAGAAACTGACACAGGAAAAACAGAATTAAATGCCCCATGGTAAGGGAAATTTACATAAAAGAAATCTCCATTTGTGTGTCTCCTTCTCTGCCAGAAAGAGATGAATGACTCCAAATCACAAGAAACTTATCAATGGAGAAGGTGCCCAACTTAAATCTGCAATAGCAACCTGTGCTTTTTTTCGTGGTAACTTCCCTTAACCGGCCTTTCTCATGCCCCCGACATCTTTTGTCTTTAGCTGAAGAAGGTATTTAAGATGGTGGCTTGGGCCATTTCGGGGAATTGCTCAGTCTTCCTGTGTATCTCCCACATATACAGGAGATATAGATGTTATTAAACTTCTGGGTTTTTTCTCCTGTTAATCTTTTATTACAGGGAGGAGTCTCACCCAGGAACCGATAAGGTAGGGGTAAAATTGTTTTTTCTCTCCAAGGACATTTCGAAAGTCTCTGAGTAGTTAACTGTTGAAGTTACAGCATTTTTCTTCTTAGCAAAATCATAAATCAACCATGAGCTCAAAGAAACACAACGTAATCCAATGCTAATGGCAGAATGGTATATTCTTAGCCTCCTCAGGAAGGCACAGCATACATGGTTCAAACAGCAAAACTGTAGTGGTCATCAGAACTTTGGCAGGGGTTACAATACATTTGTTAAACAATTTGGACTTTTTTAGCTATTTCATAAGTTTCTGAGGCTTGGTAACATACATTGAAATATATACACACTTTTCACCAATGCAATATCAATATATATGCTATCTAGAGCCCATTCACCTTATGTCAACTTTGGCTTCATGGTGATCAAACTGTGGCAAAACTAAATTAGATGTACTGACAGTCATTAATTTGGCTTAGATAGTTAACAAAAAGAACCCACTATTTTTAATAAAATTTTGGTGAAATGTTAAAGGCATCATACTTCAGCATAAAGAGAAGAACACTCAAAAATGCCTCACAATTACAAGATTTAAAAACAAGCTTAAAATTCAACTTTCTTGGGTCTCAAGGCTTGATCTCTAAATTAACAGGCCTCCCTGTTATGTGATTTTAAATGGCTATTAAACACAAATTTAATTTAAAAAAAGTAAATCACAGTAGCTTTTTAAAATTCTATAAAATATCAAAGTCAAAAATTATACAAAGTCAAAAAGTCAAAAGTCAAAAGAAATATAAAAACTATTTTGGAATAAAGACTTTGAAAAAGTTTTGCTAAACTCAAATATCTTACAAGCTCCTTCTCTGTCCTTGTAGCCTGCGTGACAGACTTGGTGCTGCCCAGGGGGCTGGGTCCGGTGATGTCAGAAGCACTCGGAAATAAAACGCAAGGGGCTTGCGAGTCCTGTCTTCTGGTTTTGGCAAGGCATGGGCAGCAGCTTCTAAACTAGGTTGAATTCCCTCAGATTTAGTTGTAGAATTGTGTCTTTCACAGCAGCGAACACAAAGCGGATATTCTCTGTGTCTGTAGCACATGTGAAGTGGGAATAGATGACTTTCTCTTTGTCAGGATTCTGGTCTTGATAAAGCTTCAAGATAAAGTCTCTGGCAGCTTTGACATCCTGCTTTGGTCCTGGTCATGATGTCAGTTAGAGGAATAAAGAAGAAAGATAGCAACTCACCACGAGGTCCTAATCATTTTCAATATGCCCTTGTTCTTATTTGGGATGTTTCTTTGAGCTCTTATTTCTAGGGAATAGTTTACCTGGGGCACTATTATTATGTCTCATTATGAATCTGTAATAGAGCATTTTAAAGTATCTACTGGTATCTAAAAATTATACTTTAAGGTAATTTGTTGAAAAATAATGACCCAATTAATTTTTACTGATTCGGACCACTTGTGAAGAGAGAATTTTTATTAACTCCAGCAGCCAGAAGTGGGTGAGGAGAGGGAAAAGGAAGAACATGGGAGCTAACGTTATCGGGCACCCAAGTCTGACTTTAAAGTTTGTGGGCTCTATACTACAGGGCCCATGCGGATAATAAAAGGAGAGTGCTAAAACACTACTCCTCTCTAAACATCAATGTCAAAGTTAGTAATATTTGAGATCTCCGGTACCAGAAATAATAAGCAATAAGGCATAAACTCTCCTGCTTTGGATCAGTCATGTATATAAAGAACCTCAGTGTCTACCCTGTATCTGGCAAAGGGGCTGCTACACTCTAACCTACACAGAAGTGCCAGGTGCTTCTGGCAGTAGGAACGCAAAGGTAAGTCAAGCACAGTCTCTGCCCTCAGGAACTACTACCTGGGGAGAGGGCTGAGTGAGCATGGTGAGCCCAGGGAGCATAAGGGAGGCACACCTGCTGTGGAGGAGGTAGGAGGTGAGGGTCAGAAGGACTTCCCACAGGAGAGGGTGCCTGAGCTGGATCTTGGCAAATGAAGTAGAGTCAGAAAAAGGAGTTGGCAAGTGTATCCCAGGCACTGGGAGAAGCATGTGTAGAGGCACTGAGGCAAGAACACAGAATGAGGCAACTGAGCTTCCCTTCAAAGGTGGGGGAATGGTGAGAAGGCCTGTTAGAGGCAGATCAGGGAGGCCCCTGGGAGCCACGTTAAGAACTCTGGACTGATACTAGCAAGGTCAGCGAGATGGACACTTACCTGTATATTGTGGAAAATAGCTAATTAGATGAGAGTACATGATTTTCTCTTCCAGAAGATCCTTCTTGTTTAAGAACAAAATCACAGACGAGTTCAGAAACCAGGGGTAAGTGATAATGGTTTTAAATAAGGCTTTGCTCTCTTCCATGCGGTTCTGAGAAACAAGGCACTTAGGGTTAACTTGAAAGAAAAGCGATACTTTGGAAACATGCCCTTCCCTGCATCCATCCATCTGTCCTCCTCTCACCCAGCTCTAGTCTCGGGCCCCTGTCTTTGCTGAAGCAGGTGAGCACGTGGGGCCCCTCAGGGCACCAGGCCTCTCGCCTCTATTTCCCCCACCCTCTCATTGATCACCCCTTCTGGATCGTCTCTCCTGTAGCACCCCGACTCTTCCCCAGCCCTAACCTAACAGGTAAGGATATAAAAAGGGCTTCTGCGCAACTTGGAAAAAGAAGGTTCACACCTATATTTGAGAAGTTTTCTGTAATTATTGGGATTACCCAGTAGAGGAAGTTCACAGCTTTAGATCTAAGACACCCAGTTTATTGAGTGTGGGGCTCCAGACTGCATGTCAAGAATCAGGTGACGATGAGGGGAAGGTAGGCTCTTCCAGCAGAGAAGGGAACTAACGCGACTGAGCACCTGTGCCACGCTTTGCATGCAGGTAATACAGGTGAGCTCTACAAGGGGAACAGGGTCCCCACGTTAAGGACGAGCATACTGTATTGTTCACAAAATTTAAGTACTTTCCCAAACCTGTATAATAGTAGCATCTAGTGGAAATTATGTAGAAGGACAGTAAAATTTCTGAACATTAGGCATTGGCAAGAAAATACTAAATATTCCTAATTTATGGATCGCAAGCAGACAAGCACATATAAATCTCATCTGGTGATAATAACTGTCCTCTAGCCTTCTCAAGTATTTCTGGGAGGAAACAAACAAAAACTTCCCTTTGGCGAGAGAAGTGGTCAGACTGAAAACATCAAAGTTCTGATGGAGAAGCTAAGAAAAGAGGGGTATAACTCCCAGACACATGGGCTCATTCTCCTGCTCAGTACATTTTGAGGGATTAAGATCTGGAATTTGTTACCAGAAAGGTAACACCTTAATGTTTTTAAAGCTACTTTAAAATTTATAACCATCTCCAAGGAAATACAATATATGAGAAAACAATCCCTATACGGCGTAACGAGTGGCTGTAACACATACCTATACAACCAGGAGAGAAAAGTCTGGAGTGGCAACTACTTAATTTTTCTCCAAATACTTTGTGATTTTTTTTTTAGGCGAGGAGAAAATGTTTAATCACATAAGACTGAAGGGAGTTGTCCCTTGCACACCTAATATTTCGAGTTTCCTAAAAAACATCATAGGTAATTCCTTAGACAAATGTGGAGCTAGTTTTTCATATTGATAACTTGAGGCTTTTTTAAAAAAAAAAAAATTTTCTGCTGTAAGAGTTGGGTGGCAGCCGAGATTTCTGTTCTTTGCACAATGACACTATCAAACGGGTTAATCTTCCACTAATTAGCAAAGTAACTGCTCCTCAGAGAAAAGCTTGCTCTCAAGAAAAACAAGATGAGTTGTCCATAGTTATTGCCTAATCCTGGACAGAGTTCTTTATTGATTTACTTGTATGCCCTAGAAACAAGAGACATTTTTCTAAAAGGTCGAGAGGACTTGTGAAGGGTAGGGGAAAAGACGATGGGAAGAGAATGGTATCTCACAGCAGATACCCCCAGTTTCACAAAGAAGTGACTGATGGTTCACATCACTTTCCTGACAGATCCAGCTAATGGACTTCGACCCAGCCAGTGGAATGACAGCTCTGCAGAGGACACTGAATTCCTGACTGGGATGGATCCGTTCCAGCTGCCCCGAGCAAGTCCCTTCCACAGGAAGTGAAGGGCAGATGCTGTCCCAGAACAGCTCCAAGATGGAGCATCACTCCCCATGCCAACTCAGCTAGAGACTGAATGGGGGAGCACCGTGGGCCGTGGAGGTTGGGAAGCCTGGAAAAGATACCCCCAACTCAAACCAAGGAATATGACTCTATTGCAGGGTCCAAAAGATGGTAATTTTGAAAACTCCCAGGGGATTTCAGTACACAGCCAAGACTGAGAACTAGTGCTTTTGAGTGGCTCCACCCCTGACAGTACATTAGATGAGATCCCTGCTCGGCCGCACGCACCAATTAAATCAGAATCTTGGGCTGGACCCAGGTACCAGATTTACCTTTAAGGTCCTGAGGAATCCCATTGTGCGTCCAAGTTTGAGAACCAGGTTTCCAGGTCAGTGATTCTCAAACTTTCATGTTTAGGTGAATTACCTGGGATCTTTTTAAAATATAGATTCTGATTGATTTGGCTTGTGGTGATTCAGTAGGTCTATTTCTGACAAGCACCCAAGTATGTCTGTTGTTGCTGGTCCACAAACTACACTTTGAATAGTAAGATGATTTAATCTCAGGAATAGAGTCTAATGCCAGAGCTGGCTGGCTTCTAGCAAACTGCAGAAATAGGTCTCTATCTTCCACAGCTAACCAAACTCCCCACCCAACATACCTCATTGTCACACTCAGCTAGGACCTGGTCGTATTCACTCAGAGCAACCAAAAAGATAATGGAAGTGACGCTCTCAAAGCAGTGAATCCATTTCCGTCTTTCAGATCGCTGGCCACCAACGTCTACCATCCTGTTTGATAGAAACACAGATCACTCAAAAGCTGGAATACGTGACTCTTTGGAGAAAAAGGACTTAAATCATTGTACCACGGAAATCGACACGTTTTAGAGTCCTCAGTAATTTTTAAGAGTGAAAAGGGGTCCTGAGATTAAAATGTTTGAGCACCGATGCTTTAGGCAGTGAGGAGCCCACAGAAGTTTCCTAGTAAGGAGGCACAGAATATAAGTGAAGTTACCGAAAACAGATGCGCAGAGGTCACTCAGGTGGAGCCCGCATGGGGACACTGGTTAGGAAGCTGCTGCAATACTCTAAGCCACAAAGGGGCAGAAAGGCCAGCAGCCTTCTAGGTCCACTCAGCTTCCTCAAGGCCTTTGCCCCCTTTCTGTTTTCATGTTCTTCTAATTTATTCACAAGTCCTTTCTCCATTAGGTGGATACACCCCTTCTTCCCTATAGAGATCTGTAAGTGCCCTCTGTCCAATATGGAAATCCAAAGTGTCTGCGGGAAAAATATCAGGGACTCATAGCCAAAGGATTGATCACAAGCTCGAATGCTACAGGAGTCAGGCAGTTTATGAAATTGGGTCGAGTGGGCCTCTGCAAAGTAGAAAAGCATGCACTTTGAGAGTGCCAGGGGCCCGCTCTCTAAAGGGCTGACTGCTACACAACTGTAGTCAACCGCTGCAGGACAAAAATGGAGGCTTACTACAACCAGACCCTCCAACTTTTCAAAAGAAACTAAATACCAAACGTTTTAAGTGAAATAGCCCAGTTTTTAAATGTTGGCTCAAAAGGTTTTTAAAACACAAAGTGTGCCAAAGAGAATACATTTGTGGACCAGGTACAGGTTTCGAAAACATTGATTCTGAAAAGGTTTAGATAAATTCATGGGTGCACAACACAGGAGATGTGCTCACAAAGATGCAAATTTTCCGAGCGCTCAACCACAGGGCTCCCCCATTGCTCCAGAAGCACTGAGCTATATAATGGGGTTACAGACAGGATCTGGGCGTGACAGGACTGGACTTCTGTCGTCTCAACTAGGAAAGCATGTATAATATCTATTAGGAGGAACAAGGGAACTAATGGATATTAAAGTGCTTTGAAATTTGCAGTGCTATGCATATGTAGTACGTTATTTTTTTGCCATAATTAAATGCAATCTACTTAAGTCATCCTAAAGTATTTCCTCTATTTATATGTAAACATACATTTTTACACAGCTGTATAACAGTTTACATATATATTATCTTACATAATTCTCAATACACACTTACGTATTGATTCTTAGTTTTTTTAAGGATAAATCTTGGAGAATGAAATAAAAGGGAAGAAAAATAGTCAGTTCTAGGGAAAAAACATCAGTATAGTCAATTTGTGGGTTACAGAAGCACACGTGTACGTGTGTGTGTGTATGTATGTGTGAATCATAAGAATCATCCCAGACATCAGTGAGGAGACTCTTCATCTTTATGGGGAATTTTAAGGTGAGGTCCTCTCAATAGGAACACTTGAGATCAACTACCACAATTCTAAATACCCTGTGATGGCGAGGGCTCTATTGCCCTAAAAGATACAACTCCTTTTAGGAATAAAACATTTAAGAATCTTTTTAGGGACTTCCAAGCCTGGACAGATTCTTAATGGACCATGTCAGAGAGACATTCTTACCGAAAGATGATGTTTTCCAAGTCAAACGGATACTCAATGATGCCGGTCGTGGGCACTCGAACACGAAGCACGTCTTGCTGCGTTGGCACGAACGAGGGCATGGCAATCCGGTCAATGTCAGTCAGGTAACTGTGACATTAGAGGACAAGGTGCTGAGCCTCATTTTAGAGAAGGGAGATGTGTCCATCCCACTCCCAGGAAGTCACCCCGACTCAGAGTGACCCCCACTCAGATTCATGCGTTCCATCAGTGACCCAGAGCCAGCGTTCCAGCCCTCCTCCAACTGTTTTGGAGAGAATATGGATCAGAAGCTTCACGAGCCTTTAGGGAACTCTGTGGATGACTCCATCTCTTCCTCCTCGTTCTAAGCTCAATCACTATCTAGCCAGTGAGAGAGAGGGCAAGGCCAGGAAGGAATGGAATCTGATCTCTGGTCTCTCATCCGACCTCCTTCCAAAGGCCCCTCCCCCCTCCGACACTTGCCCTCATCCAAAATATAAAATGTAGATGCTGTTCTTGAACAATTTTTTCAATGAATTAGTTTCTAAGAAAATATAAAGGCATAAAATAGGCCAATGAGAAGTTCTTTCAAAAACAAAACAAGAAAAAGTTTTTCTGTTACACTGGGAAATGAAACATCTAAAATAAACCCAAAACTTGTCTTGGATTGTTTGGGGGCATATATTAGAGCCCTGAGCTTAAAACATACCACTTTCCTGTGGTAAAACAAAAGGATACTTTTTAAAAAAAAATTTAAAGCCTTTACAAAAGGCATTTTTGAGTAAAATAACTGTAACTCCGGCCCTGGCCACTGAGTGACAAGAGTTGGTGATTTGGAGCCCCATGCAAACTGAGGCTGGGCCTGCCTTCTCCCTGCACAGGCGGAGCCAACTAGTTCTGAGCAGGTGGCATGAAGGGGAACCAAACGGTAACAAGCTAACAGCATTCACCGCACAGCCCTCAGTTCAGGAAGCAAACCACTGAAGCGGCCTGCTTGCGACCTACTCCCTGTGCCCCATACATGTCCCCAAGGCTATTGCCACTGACTGTGTGTGATTTTTTTTTTTACTTAGACCCATCTCGTTCCACCAGAATGTTAATGTTCCTTGACCTTAGCACTAGTTGTACCTGCCACGCTTACCATGGTGCCTGATCCATAGCAGGCACACATCAAGTTTTTTTGAAATGAATGCCTGTCCAAATAAGCAGATAGGACTAGCAGAACAGATGGCGACCAGTGACCTGGACCAAGGAAATGCACAAGTACATCAAGTCCCACCAGTTCCAGAGGAGGAGTAACTGTCTAGGTTCATTTTCTCTGCTGTAACTCTGTCCACCACCCTGCCCCTCCCCACGTTCCTCTCAAACTTGCCCCAGTTTTCAAGGCTCCGCCAAATTTTAAAGCAGTTCCAGTGGATCATTTCCAAATGGGCCTACGTTAAGAGCCTCAGCCACTCCCCAGGGCCTTCACAGAAGCAAATGACACTAGGCTGTCTCAGAGACAGGCCTTGGCCAACTTGGAGGGTGGGGCAGGAGAACTGTCCCTGGCTCCCCAGCTGTCAAAGACAGTCTGCCTTTCTCCTTGGGACACTGCTACCCTTCAGGCACTTTTCTGTGGGACTTCTTTTATTTCCTTTTTCTGTTTTGCACCTAAATGTTCCTGAACTTGGATTGGTTGTGCCAACCAGGATTAAAGGATTAAACACTCAGCCTGGGACAAAAGCCAAGGGGAGGTCCAGTGAAACTGAGGGTAGGATTCCAGTTTCCTTTCCTGCTCACTTTTCACTGCCTGTCCAGATGATGGAGTGAATCACCCACCCACTCCAGCTTGGAAGGCAATGACTGCACCTGAAGGGAAGGGGACGTCTTCAGAAGGGATTTCGGGGCCCTCAGAAGATGGAAGATGACATGGTCCAAGGGAGGAAAGAGCTGAGCTGCAGAGGGAGGACTCATCATCCTCTTTTCGAGAACTATGATTAAACTATTTGCCCAGCGATCTGGCTGATGGAGGCACAGCCCCAGGAAATTCTTAAGAAAATAAAACTTGTGATCTCCCTGGAAGAGTTTGCATGCAGGACCATATATTTCTCTTTCTTTAAAAGGTAACTTACTTAAAACTAGAGCTTTGTGGATCGAAATATAGTGTATGAGCATTTGCAAGTTATTAATAAACAAAGGGCACCAGGACTGAGTTTCTACGGGCAATGGGCCGGGAGAGCTTCTCTTGCCCACTAGAGGGCAGCACAAGATCAGCCACCGATGGGGCCTAGTGCATTGCGCCTAAACTCTGATTTTAGATTTTAGGATAATTGGACCTGGAATCTACTGATCAGGAAACCAGAAGGCAGAGGGATATAGAGAGGAGGAAAGTAGAAGCCAAAAGCAGATGTAGTCCTTGTCAGATCATTTCGGCACTCCAAATGAGATCAGTTCTACCAAAGGAACCCCACATTTGATTTACTTTCTCATTGAAAAGAAGCACAGAGGCTTAGGACATGGTGAGGAAAGGCAGCTATGGGCAGGGAGAGAGACCTGGGATCCACAGGGGGACTGAAGGTTTTAGGAGGTGGGAAGAGATGCACCAAGAAGATGGGGATACAGACTAGCGGGAAGGAGGTGGTGTTGCCACTAGAAGCAGCTCCTTTCTCCCCATTGAAAAGCATCTCTTAAGAATATGTAGCATGCTTGCCCGAAAGCCCCTTGGGCAGCCGTGCCCGGGGCTCTGTACTCACTATTTGGCAGAGTCTGACAGCTGGTATTCCCTCCTCCTGTCATAACACTCCTGGATTCCTGGGTCCAGCCACAGCTGCTTGATGGCCTCCACCTGGTCCCTGGAGAGCGCAACGATTTTGTCCACTTCTACTTCTCTGATTATCTGGGCGTTTTCCTACTCAAAGGAAAGAGAACCTTTCCTTAGTCATAGGAAAGGAAGCTAACCCTGACTCGGGGATAAGACTTGCCCTGGTTCATGGATTAGGAAAGATCCCCCTAGGTGTTGAGGGTGTGGTATGTGCCCTCTGCAGGGCTGCTCACAGCCAAGCCCCTCAGCTGCAGCCATGTTGCGTGGAGATGATGTATCTGTAAGTCGGTGGACAGAACTACAGGACACAACACCTATGGCTTTCAGCCCTAGCCATACCCCGGGACCAGTTTCACCAGCATTCGACACCCCGTAGTGAATAGAGAAACACTGGAAGAGTGATCATCATGGTACTAACGAACTTTACTTCCTCATTACTCATTTGAATATCTGCATAGCCAATGGAGCAATTTAAAAATAACTGTTATTGTCAGTGGGAATCCAAGGATGGGGTGGTAGAAGTGGGTGGAAGCAATGAGGGATGGATTTTTTTTTTAACTTTTTTAAAAATTAAGTTTGTGGAGTAACATTGGTTAATACGATTATATAATTTTCAGGTGTACATTATAATTTCACATCTGTATATTCTATTGTGTGTTTACTACCCAAAGTCCAGTTTCCTTCAGCTATAATATATTCGATCCCCTTTACTCACTTCATCCTCCCCCTACCCCTTTATATTTGACCCTCTTTACCCCATACCCTATATTTGACCCCCTCGCTTCTACCTCCCCGCTCCTCACCCACCCCTTACCCTCTGGTAACCACTAGTCTACAGACCATGTCCATGAGTCTCCATTTGTCCTGTTCATTTGTTGCTTTTAGGTTTATATCCCACATATAAGTGATATCATGTGATTTTCAACTTTTTCTATCTGGCTTATTTTGCTTAGCGTGATCGAGAGTGGATTTTCTTTAGAGCAGGGGTCCTCAACCTCTGTGGCACAGATCGGTACTGGTCCATGCCTGTTAGGAACCGGGCCGCACAGCAGGAGGTGAGTGGCAGGTGAGCGAGCAAAGCTTCATCTGTATTTGCAGCTGCCCCCTAGAGCTAGCATCACTGCCTCAGCTCCACCTCAGATCATCATCAGGTATACATTAGATTCTCATAGGAGCACCAGTCCCCGGTGCCAAAAAGGTTGGGGACTGCTGCTTCAGGGGATTGAAAAACAATAGTAACCAACTGATCGCCAGTCTGCTTTTTCCTCTCTCCATTATTAAAAAAAATTTTTTTTAATAGGCTTTTTTAAAGCAGTTTTAGGTTTTCAGCAAAACTGAGCACAAAGTACAGAGTTCTCACACAGTCTGTTTTTTAATTATCACGTGTCACTGATAAAACTCCCACTGGGAGAACCACTCCCATTGCAACCTCACCCTCCCATGCCACTGATTGCTATACTGTTATTTATTATTACCATCATTAATAAATAATTATTGCTCTAATACTATTGCCATATTATTTCAGTAATTAAGATCATTATTACTGCAATTATTACTATTATAGCACTTACCATTTACTGTCCGCTTAAATGTGCCAAGGGTTCTACATGCACTATCTCGTTTAATCAATGGAAGGCTAAGACAAGACCAGAAATCTTTCCAGACATTAGCAAATGAAAATGATAAGGCTGGCCTGCATCTACAACACATCCATGTGTTGGTCCCGGAAACTCAGCATCTCATCCTTGGCTGCAAGAGATTCCTGCCACAAGAGACAGGAGCCTGGCCTTTTCTTTGCTCTCCCATCTTGCCACATCTCACAGCAATTACATCACGCAGAGCTGGCTATTCACTTGCAGCCATGAGTCAGTAAAGGATCCATTTGACAGCTATGATCTCCTCAAGTACATATGGTACCCCCTACGAAGTTGTTCTTACCTTTCATTGCTCATTCTCATTAATAGTCCAACAAGAAGCCAGAGAATAGAGAGATCTAGATTCACCTGTCTCGAGCACAACCAAGTGCTGTCATGAGATCAGCATGACTTCGTACCACATCCGTCACAAGAGCAGATATAAACTCTTCCCCTAGACTGCGGATCGTCAGGCAGGTAGATTCTCAAACAAGATCAAGGCAGAGTGGTTTAGTGGAAAGTGTCCTGGATGGGGGAATCGAGACTCTGAGTTCTAAGTAGTGCACTTGGGACTTTTAAGGATCTCACCAAGCTACCTGCCTCAGCATCCTCATTTGTAAAAGGAGCCAGTGATTTTCAGAAGAACCCAAATGTAAGTAGAATTAGCCTTATTATTGTATCAGGTACTTAATATTTGTTTGCAAAACAGGACACACTGATGGCTCTTAAGCCATGATTTCTAACCCTGCCCACTGGCACATTTCTGCACCATCTGCTCTATTCTCAGCCAGAGAGAATAATAAATGAAGAACCTGGACAGTTTTTTTTTTTTTTTTTTTGTGGAAAAGGGGACTGTCTCCCACTTCCTCTCCTCCTCTCACCACTTTTCCTCTTCCCAAAAGGATCAGATGGTCTCTCCTCACCCCGTGCTTAACTCTACCCTCTAAATTTAAAGCATATGTTTTCCTCTCTGTCTTCGTGACAAGTCAAGAAATGCCACAAGAGCAGAGCCATTGTCATTGTTCCATATATCCCAGAACCTGGGGCAGTGTCTAGCAAATACCAGGTGCCCATCTATTGATGTAGGCACCCAATTTGTAGCATTCATAAAAATGTATCTGACAGAAAATAAATACCAGGTGCCCATCTATTGATATAGGCACTCAATAAACATTTGTAGCATTCATAAAAATGTATCTGACAGAAAATCACAAGGAAATAACAGCAAAAGGATGCTAGGGTAGGACAGAAGCCTCTGCTGGTCACAGAGCACAGGAGCACGGGACAGGAAAGTCTCTCAGAGGAGAAAACGCTCTGGTGACTCATGGCCAATTTGTCTTTTTCACTCTGTCCCTGGAGGCAGTCAGCATCTTTGCTTTTTAGGTGACTGCCTCTTAATCTGCTCTCCTAAATTTAACTATTAAATTCAGCTTAACTGCTAAGAGATAGTGCTGTAAGAATCAACAAGGGTGTTACAAATATTTCAACCTTTTCTCCTCACAAATGCGCTGTAGGATTGTACTCTGCAGTGAATGAAATGTAAGCAGAAACAACATTTATCCCTTTTAGGAAGAAACTTTAGTCACTCAGGAAGCCTGGCTGATGGAGGCTGCATTTTTATCTCATGACAATCACCACATCGGATGAAAGGGAATGTCGTAAATTACTCACTAGCTCTTTAATGAGTAGAGACCCCCGCACTACATATTGCATATGTAGCCTGAGTGAGAAATCAACTTTTATGGTGTTAAGCTGAACTTTGGGGGCAATTTGTTACTGCAGCATAAGCTGCTCCATCCTGACTGACACATGTTGCAATGGATAAACCCAGCATTTGGCTCTTCCAATAGACAGAAAAAGTGGATCCCAGTCAAATATCACAGAGGAATGCAGGCTTCTACATACACTGCCGGGGAATGGAATTTGGGGAAAGACATAGACCTAAGCTTTCAGCCAAGAAAGACATTTTGTTCAACCAAGTGGAGAGACTTAGGGAAGTGGGGATCTCACTTGAAGGAAGAAGAGAACTCAGTCTCCTCGGAAAACCAACAAAGGGACTAGGGTTTGGAACAGACTGAACTCAAAGGGCCCAAAGTATTCCAGTTTTGAGGTTTCCTGATAAGCTCTCCCACTTATCAAGATCATTTTTTAACTTCTGATTTAAAATAATTTAAGACATAAAAATGTGGAGAAAATAGTACAAGAGTTCCTCTACGCCTTTCAAGATTGCCCAAATGTTAATCTGCTGCCTTGATTTATCATTCATCCTTTCTCCCTCCAAGTGTGTGTGTGTACACATGCACATACTTTTTTTCTGAAATATTTGTCAGGAAGTTGCAGGCACAGTGCCTCTTTAAGATTTCACTGTGATTTCCTTAAAAACAAGGATATTCGCTTATGTAATCACAGTGTAATGTTGACAAATCAGGAAAATCACATTGACACAATACAGTAATCTTCAGACATTATCCAAAATTTGCCAATTTTCCTATTAGTGTCCTTTATCTGCCCAATGTTGGATCACATAATGCTGTTGTCTCTTTAGTCTCCATTTATCTGAAAAGTTTCTGCAGTCGGAGAAGTTGCTCTTGTCACTCTGATCGAGAATGGCCTGACAAGGATATGTTCTTTAGTCACACGTCATCATAAGGATAGCTTAGTAGAGTGGCACAGCCAAGATCCAGAGAATGTTCTAGGGACAATTACTATGAAGAGAAGGGAGGAATGAGGAAGAGAATGACCTGTTTTTTAAATAAATTTTACTGAAATATGAGATGAATGACTTTTGTGGAGCAGGTTCTTGAACATCATCATTTAGGTCAACGTCATTTCATTATTACATTGATGAGATGATGTTGGAACTTAACTCCTGTTTTTATCAATTAGCCTATGGTAAAATTGGTTTTGTTACACGTCATTTCACTTGAAGTCTCAGAACCTATAGGCAACGTTAAGTGAAGACTTACTGTACACTGTTAACAATGTGGGGTTTGGGACATATTCTCCTCTGACCGGCTAAATCGTGTCATACACAGAAGCATGGGCATTTTGATGGGCCTTTCAAACTACCTCTACAGTGTGCACCCTCTAAGAGCAGGAGGCCCCTTATACAATGTGGGGACAGTTTTGTGTCATTTAAGACTGGGTTCTTCATCTCATGAAAATAGGGGAAGAAAAGTTGTAAGAGAATCAGGTTTGGGGACATGTGACTTGGGTTGGGGACATGCTATGTCTGAGGTGGACAACATTAAAGTGTTGGAAAATGGGTCTGTAGTTCACGGGAGAGTCGTAGGCAAGAGGAGCATATTGAATTGAAATCACCGAACACTCCGCTTCATTCAAAACAAAGAAAACTCACAAAGGAGTAAAGATTACAGGAGCGAATTCAGCAGATACACAAACATAACCAGTTTCTCAAACACTGACCTATGTGGCTTTTCCTATTTTCCTTTC